TATATATATATATATATATATATATATATATATTTATTTATTTATTTATTTTTTTTACAGTTATATTTTAACTTACATACTCATTCAAATTGTGGCTGAATGTACAGAATGTGTTATTGCATAAAAGTTCAGAAAATGTGATCCATAGTCTGTACATGGGGCTCTAAATTGAACTGGATCCACTTTTCATCAACAGCTTTCCTTCTAGAATGATCATCTTTGCTCCAATTCTATACTACGTTGGTTTGACAAGTAACAAAAACATAAAAGGTGTAATTTTTTGGAGAACTAGTGAGCAGCGGTGCATCTGGGACACTTCAGAAATGCACCACGCCCACCTGATAGAACAGATAAGACTGACTAGAGTTCATGCATTTAGCTCTAAAGATACTGCTAAGATGCGGTGCAACCATGCCACTTTAACATCTTGCACAATGGAAGGGTCAGAGCTTAGAGATATCCACATTCTTTTTCAGCTGCAGATGTCAGTTTGCACTGTAAGAGTGAATAATGTAGGTTCCTTATGACAGAACTTGATGATATTTCCTGTCGATGGAGGTCAGTTCTTTCATTCTAAAGGGAAAAAATAGCATTGTATTACAAAAAATTTACAGGTATGTAACAAAAACAATGAACAGAAATGTAACTATTTAAAAAGAAAGAATGCAGACAAAAAGCTGCCCACATCTACCCCTCCCTGTGAAGATCTATCTCTTCTCTTTGAAACATTCTCTGTGATCTCATCCATCTAGCTTCATGCTCTTCCCCTTTAGGTTTCCAGTAAAAACTGGCCCCAAGCTGTGTGCAGCTGCTGCTTATGGCTTGATGACAAACTACTGATGCTTCATTCAGCTTGTCTTTTTCCCTGCTGTGAGGATGTCAGTTGTGTAAATCACTTCCTGGGTATAAAGTTCACTCATTAAGGTCCAAGATGTCATGTGTTAATTTTATGCATTGCAAACCATGTTTGTCTTGTTGCAGCAGCAAACTGTTGCCTCAGTCTGATCTGCCTGTGAGGTGCAGATAATTCCACAGTGGAAAAAAACAACAACAAAAAAGCATCCTTTGTATTTAACTCATCCATAATGGTGCAGTACACTGGGTAGTACTAAGTGAGCACTCTGGGGTTAAGGGTTTGCTTGAGGACCCAATAAGAATCTGTGTTTCAATTTGACAGCTTACCCCTTCAGTATGCAATCTACTTTCTGTCTAACTGCTTAAAGCTCACAACCCTAACAGTTGATAGTGACACTTTATGAAAGTATTTATACATGCAGATATATCTGTCATTTAGCGTCCTTTACCAACTTTAAATTAACCGATTTGTCCCTCTCATAAGCTGTAGTAAATTGTGATTTGTAGGCCTCCGGACTGTAATATTATCCACGTGAATTTTTTGACTTTATGATTTTTAGTGTTTATTGTTTGGAAAATATATATTATTTCAATGAGTTTACCAAGTGCAATTGTGTTCACTTTACTAGCAGAATATTGCATTTATTTTAAGTAGAATATTCTCAGAAGGAGATTCATAGTCGAACAAAATCTCCTCTTGTGTAGTATATCAATTTCAAAACAATATCTAGCCAAATAAAGACTTTTGGTTAGATATACAGTAAGATCGTAATACTTGGTTAGATGGACAATCTTTGCAATGGCTACTGTGAGTGTTGCAGAGCTGAGTATGGGTGAACGAAGTGCAAGCAAGAGATCCATTTCCTATTTCTAGATTTATACTTATATGTAGAACTGAGTAGAGTTCTGCGTTATCGATCTGGGATGGCTGCCCGTCAGAGTCTTTCCATATAAAAGGAGGGACGTTTAGTACAATACTTTGAGCTGATTGGGTGACATGTCAGCTAGTACCTGCCTTCCATAAGAAGCTGTCATCAGCCTCACAATAGGATTGTCTGTAGCTTCTTGAGTAATTTCACAACTAGCAGAGTAAGCTGATAAATCAAACTTTTTACAAATCCTGTCGGAAGAAAAACACAGACATCTTTCCCATCTACAAATGCACAAATGCTTTTCCTTTTAAATTTGTCATTATTTTAGCTTAAACCAAGTCAATTGCAGTATCGACATATGGGTCCTTCAGCGTAGTCATGTCTGTAATGCCCCGGTGAGGCCCTTCTGACTGTTGTCATTCCTACATTTCCAACCCCAATAAACAC